CTTTTAGTCTGTCTTTAGAGTAATACATCCTTTATAGTTCCCTATTTTGATAGCAGGAAATATACATTGCACCCTTTGTGTTCACTCACTGCTGTGTAATATTGAAATCATTCTTTCTTGCCTTCTCAATTCTGTGTTTACAGCAAGCGACTGATGTTGAGGTGGGAAATGACCTTGTCCCTTCTGTCACAGTGAAGGTATTGTACCAGATTTTAGACTGTAATGTGCAAACAATATGATTCATTTAATCTCACCTGTCACTGTTGATAACTTGTAAGTAGCTTACAGAAATGTAAAATAAACACTTGCATTTGTAGATTTTTCCCCAGCCTTGAGTAGTGAATAGAAAACCTTTACTGTTACTTGCAAATATAAAACTGATCATTGCATTTATAGCAATATGTATATAATATAAATAATTATTATGAGGTACTCGCACCATTATTTAAATGTGTAGCATGATTCAGGCTTTTTTCGTTGGAAATAAAGTTAACATTTTAAATCTGCTAAAGGAATTGTGTCATCACCATTCATAATAGACCAATCAAGTAGCATCATATATAATATACTGTGATTTGATATTGGAGAAGCACGGGGATGCTAATATCTTTCTTCTACCTATGATTATGTGTGTGTTTGAAAAGAATTTCCAGCCATCTCTCTGCCATAACTTTAAGTGGATGTATTTACAGCAAGAAAATATTAAATGAAGATGCCACAAAGTTAGAGTTGTTACAAATTGATAGTCCTGGAAAATAGAATATTAAGGATGTGGTTTTGGTTAAGATTTTTAGTCCTGTCATTGTAGAAATTTAGAACTAGAACTTAAATGTAGAACCTTCTTAAAGCATTTAGATTAAAATATGGTAATCATTCAGCACATTATTAAGCTGAAAATATTTATCACTGCCCAGACCTCGGAAGCAAGGAAAGGTTGTGGATTTTGGCAATTCACTTAGTTGAAACTTGGATGGGGCTTTATATTTTCTTAGATTATGGGTTGCTGTCCTTGGAGGAGCTTGACAGGGCACCAAGCTCTACCAATTGTGTTCGCTTACACTGGAACCAGCGGGTGGCCCAAATATGGAGATCTTTGGTCGAACTTGAAGGGAGCTGAATCTTACAACAGTTTCTTAAGCTAAGTTTTTTGGATTCTTGCCACTGGAAAAAGGGTGGTCTTTCCCCAACCTCCTTTCCCCCAGTCCAATCAAAGGCTCTATCTCATTAATACTTCTGAATCTGTAAAGGCATTAGTGGCAAGAAATCAAACACTTAAGAAAAAGAAATAACTGTCGAGTTCCAGGAATGATTTGTACTTTCGTATAGGGACACCTCTTTTATATCTATCACTGATAACGTTCAGACACATACATGTAATAATTTAGGAGTGCACTGTTAATTGCAATAAGAGATCTTGTGCCTTAACTAGAAAACATTGCTCATGCTAATTGTACCCCCAGCCAACCAGGAGTTAGCACCATAAGTAAACATACCTTTCCTTCCCATGCAGTTCTTAAGCTTTCATGTGTAGTAGCCACTTTAAAATAATGGCATGACATTACTGGAAAATTCTCCTTCATTCGTGGAACTTCCTATATTTGAGGATACTTAAGTCACAACTGTCTTTCTCAGTGCCATTATAAAAGTAAGAGAAAGAATGCAACAGACGAGGGTTGCAGAAAATTGGCAGTACTCACACAGTGGACACAATGACTTCCTGATCCTGTCTGACAGTTTCTATACAAATTTCTACTATAAATCTCTCCTTATGACCTTTTATAACAACAGCAGCCAAGATATATAACCATGCAAGTTTCCATCATAATAAATCCTGTTAATTGAGAAAATTTTTCCATGCGTTCCAAGTGAATGAAGATGTGGCTACCTTGAGTATGTGTGCATAATGCGTGACCATCTATTCCAGGCAACTAGGCAGAGTGGTTGTTCATACCTGGCCTTTGGCATCATATTTATATATCTAGTATAAAAATTTCGTATTATATTTCCTAAGGGTTATATTTCATAAGAGGCAGAAAATAGCATGGAAAATTCTTGTATCAATGTTTTCTCCTTAATATTCTATAATTATTTTCCTGTTAAAATGTAAGACTTACAATCTAGCCAAGTCTTTAACTCTTTTTTGGCTCAAACACAACTATTCTTTGTTACTGTTGTTATTTTCGTTACCTAACTCCTTGATTTGTATTTTGAAAGGGCCTAGCCCATTGTTGGGATTCAATAAATATGTGCATGAGAGCTATCATGATTGTGCATCTAAACCAAATGCAAACCCTTCTTGTTACAATGTAAAATTCTGTGATTATTGTCTAAGTAGACATCATTGTGCCAGGAAAAGTCAGACTGCTTTTTTTCAAATGAGTTATTACTACTTAAAGGAATTTTCATTTTTACTTAAAACTGAGCTCTCATGAGACTTTCCTGGTCACTATTTTCAACTCTCTAGTTGGATTGATGGCTTTGCACATGTTATTTACCTTCTCTGAACCTCTATTTTTTAACTGTAAAATAGGGATACTTTTTCATTTGCAGAGTTATTTTGAGTCTTAACCACAGTTGGTAAAAGGCATGAGCTCTGGATTCTGGCAGATAGCAGTTAAATTGTGGTTCTTCCACTTACAATCAAAGTGGCCTTGGGCAAATTACTTAGCATCTCTGAGCCACAGTCTTTTGTAAAATGGTTTATGATGGTACTTGTCAAACATTTTTATAAGGAGTAAATTAAATAATGGAACATAAATAATTTGTTAGCATGGTTCCATGAATATAGAAAACTGCTAATGTTTTTTAATCATTAATATTATTAATTTTATTTTAAAATATATGTGCAGACTAGTATTATATTATTGTAATAGTAGAATATTTAAATTATGTCCTGTTTGTTTAATGGACTAGCTAGTTGAAAGAAAGTTGTTTGTAGCACTTGGATGGTGTCTTCTTGCCACAATAACCATCAGGGTTTTACTAAAAAGGTATTATGTTTACAATGGCCAGACATCATCAAGGAAGTTTAGTTTGTGGCATGATGATTCCCTATGTATTCCCAGGATTTACGAAGTAAAAATTGAGGATTCATTGTTCATTGTGTTTATCATATTTAATTGCATCAATAGTTGTCTTAAGAATTTTCCTTTGCAAGTCAAAATTTTTATGTTTTTAACTTATTTTTAAGTTGTGCAGAATACTCACATCACTCAAAATTAATGCATTTACTGAATCTAATTATATGTACATAATTTTTGTGGGGCAATTGTATATTCTTGTGTATATAAAAATATTATATATATTTAATCAAGGAAGAGGTGATACCTGCTTTTTATTGAAAAGAAACTTCAAAACTACTTTTCTTAACAATAAGAATGGTCCTTGAATTATGTTAGTTAATGTATGTATCTGTCTCATATAACAAAGTCTAGTAACTAGACTGAACTGCTGTATAGAAAAGGTACCATATAGAATGGTGATTTATTTATTTTATTTAATTTTTTTTCTCATGACGTATGAGTCACCATGATAGAACATTTTAAAATAGCTTCATTTAGATATAAGTTAGATACTATATTATTCACTTATTTAAAGTTACAATCCAATGATTTTTAGTATAATATATTTACAGAATTTTGCAACTATCACAATTTAATTTTAGAATATTTTATGCCCCCTAAAAGAAAGGCCATACCTGTTAGCTTCCATTCCCCATCTCTCTCATCCCTAAGCAACTCCTAATCTATTTTATTTCTCTATAGATTGCCTATTCTGTACTTTTCATATAAATGGATCCTATAATATGTGGTTCTTTGTGACTAGATTTTTTTCACTTAGCATCATGTTTTCAAGGTTCACCCATGTTGTGGCATATAAATGAAATAATGCACTTACATTTGTTATCATAGTTCCATAAATATAAAAAACTGCTAATGGTTTTTATCATTAATATTATTCAGAATGTATTTAATTTCTTTTATTGCTGAATAATATTTCATTGTATGAATATATCACATTTTGTTTATTCATTCATTGTGATGGGAATTTGGATTATTTCTGCTTTTTGGCTATTAGCATATTGTTGCTGTGAACATTTGTGTATAAGATTTTGGGTGGACATATGTTTTCATTTCCCTTGGTATAGAATTGTGAAGTTATATGTCAAATTTATGTTTAACCTTTGAAGAAACTGCCAAACTGTTTTTAGAGTAGCTGTACCAATTTACATTTTCACTGGCAATGTATGAGGGTTCCAGTTTCTCCACATCATTGCTGTATTATTGTCTGTCCTTTTCGTTATAGCCATTTTATTGGGTATGTAGTAGTATCTCATTGTGGTTTTTAGTTTGTATCTCCTTCAAAACTGAGGATATTGAGCATCTTTGCATGTACATGTTGCCAATCTTTATTCTTTTGAGTAAAGTCTGTTTAATGTTTTGCACAGTTTCTACTTGATAGAATATTTTAATCTATTACTTACTGTATTATGTTTTGTGATTACTCATTTTTTCCTCAGGTAATATTTTCTAATTATTTGCTAGCTATTTTAAGTAGTTTTGAATAAAATGTAATTTTCTATTGATCACAGTTTCTGTTTCCTTAGGTCACGCTGCAGAATAGAGTGATATTGCAAAAAGCCAAATTATCAGTCTACGTGCAACCACCATTAGAATTGACTTGTGATCAGTTCACCTTTGAATTTATGAGTAAGTTTTTTGTTTTGGCTGAAAGTCTACCATGGTGTGAATGTAAAAAAAAAAAAAATACCAGTTTGTTCATTTAAGGGCTATTATTTCTTGTCTGAATGGTGAGATTGGGATCATCCCATAATCAATGATTGTGTTGTTTTGCTTATAGCATCTTAGCATCAGTGTGAACATTCAGTCACTGATTGTTGGGACAAATTAATCTTTTAGGATTACAGATTTCTAGATGCTTTTCTGAACTTGTTGTACCTATAATTGTTTTTGATTTATTTATTTATTTTTGAGACAGGGTCTCATTCTCATTGGCCCAGGCTGGAGTGCAGTGGCACGATCATGGCTTACTGCAACCTTGACTTCCCGAGTTCAAGTGATCCTCTCACCTCAGCCTCCTGAATAGCTGGGACTATAGGAAAACACCACCTGGCTAATTTTTTGTATTTTTAGTAGAGACGGGGTTTCGCCATGTTATCCAGGCTGGTCTTGAACTCCTGGGCTCAAGCAATCTGCCTATCTCGGCCTCCCAGAGTACTAAGATTACAAGCATGAGCCACCACTCTTGGTCTGTTTTTAAATACTAAAATTTAGAAGGCTTTCTTTATTGGTGTTTCTTTATTGATCTATTTGTTGAATCAGTAATGTTTGAAGAACTAATGTGGACTTTGGAGTTTGGCCTGAGTTTGAGTTACACTCACTTGATGTGTAACCTTAGGCAAAAACTACATTGGTAATCACTTGGAGCCTCATTTATTTTAATCTGCAAAAAGGGGGTAATGATATTTGTCTTACAAGGTTGTTTTGAGGATTTAATTAAAAAGTAAATCTATAAAAGGTATTCATAATAATGCTTAAAATAGTAGACATATCATTAATGGCAACTCTTAGTAAGCGTTCTTTGTGTGGAATCTCTTACTCCCAACCCTTTACATCCAAATTGTCATTAGTCTTGTTAACATAATCTGAATTACCTTTCAAGTCTTTTTTCTTTTTTTGTTTACTATAGCTTTTCTGCTAAGGCTTCTATCTCTTATTCATGAAGTCAAGAACATATCTTTCTTTGTTTGCCTCCATATAACCAACTCATAGCTGAGTGCCTGCCATTAGTAGGAATTCAACAAATCTTTGTAGAATGAATGAATGAATGATTGAGTGAAGTAACTTCATAGGTGATACCCAGCCATTTAACTTTTGCTTGCATTTCTGATTTTGTGCAACACTTCCAATTTGTCTTTCTAAAACACATTCTGAGTAACTTACTTTTTCCAGTTAAAAATCTCTTATGGCTCTGTAATACAGGCTGGGGGCCAAATATGTTAACACAGATGAGCATGCACAATCTGTTAAGTGACTACTGTGTAACAGCATTCAATCCTCCTCATCCATTTTCTCCTTCAGTGTATGTTCTACCCATCATAAATTGCTATTTTCCTCCCAAATTCTCTTGCCCTTTTGTGTACCGTTTTCTTTGTTCATGCTGTCTGTTCCTCGAAGTAAAGAACAGCAGTGGTGTAGAATGCCAGTTTCTTTGTACCTTGTTCTGGAGTCAATTCCTAGTAGCTGTGTTACCTTAGGCAAGCTTCTTTTTTTGTTTTTGTTTCTGTTTTTGAGACAGAGTCTCACTCTGTTGCCTGGACTGGAGTGCAATGGAGCAATCTCGGTTCACTGCGAACTCCACCTTCCAGGCATCACCATGCCCAGCTAATTTTTTTGTATTTTTAGTAGAGATATGGTTTTGTCATGTTGGCTAGGCTGGTCTCGAACTTCTGGCCTCATGTGATCCGCCCACCTAGGCCTCCCAAAGTGTTGGGATTACAGGCGTAAGCCACTGTGCCCTGTCTTAGGCAAGCTTCTTAATCTCTCTGTATTCCAGTTTTCTCATGCATAAAAAATGAGGATAATAATAGTGTCAACCTCACAGGTTTGTTGTGAAGATTTAATGACTTACTTCATGTAAAATGCTTATGACAGTACCTGGCATGTGGTAAGTGCTTATTAAATTTTAACTGTTGTTAATAACAATTGCCCCAACTTATGTAATTTATATTATTTTTATATTGCTTATAGCACCAGATTTGACTAGAACAGTAAGCTTTTCTGTTTATCTGAAAAGAAGTTATACACCATCAGAATTGGAAGGAAATGCTGTTGTTTCTTATTCCAGACCAACAGGTAAGCATACAGGCTTAATCATTCCTTTAAGTTGTTGGAGTTATGAGTAAAATGCTTACGCATTTAAGATGAGAAAACATACTGTGAAATATAATTAAATGAGAAAATGTTATTTTCTATTGTTAAGTGAAATCATATGTTTTCATTACTTTTATGTGTTATGAGTAGTTCGTGACAAGGTTATTTAGCTGATTTCCATATGTAATGTTTGGTTCCCTCTTTTCAGTTAATAGCAAATCTGATACATTTTTATTCGTAATAGAAGAATGTTATCTAGTCAGACTTCATTTATTTGAACTAAAGGCTAGTAGTGATGCAGGATTTTTGCTCCTTAGTTTAGCTAAATCTGTGTTCTTATTTCGTGACCAGGAAGAATTAGGCATGTGGACACAGTGAAGAGTGAGGAGGGTGGAATTTTTTAAGCGGCTTTCCACCTCACAAATTGAATACCGGGGCTCCCACACAGGAGCTGATGAGGCCAGGCTCCTCCCCTGCATAGCCATTTTTGGCTGTTATGCTTTTCTGTAATTTAAAAGACAGAATTTAAAAGATTACTAGTCATTGGTATTGGTTGAAAGTGAATTAGAAATTAACATTGAGAAAGTCTGCAGAATGCCAAGAGAAGCAAAAAGAGACATTATCAATAGTATTATTTACTTAAATTATTATAAAAAAGAGGAACTGGATTGACTTTAAAGGGGAAAGTTAAAAGAAAATAAATTCAAAAACTAACTGGAAATATTAATATTATGTATTTTTCCCTTTATTGAGTCTTTTTTGCTGTTTGGCTAGATCATATATCTTTACTTTTTTTTTTTTCCACATTTACACTGGAATAACACATTCTCATAGACTTCTGAGAATGGAAATATAAACAAATGTATTGTCGGATTTCATTTATTTATGTTATACTCTTCAATTGTGAATTGACTTGTGTTTGACTGGAGAGTCATTTAAGTCATCTGTGAGAATCTTGAAATTTTAATTTGTATTTTAAGCAGTTATGTGTCAAATTTGTGTTGTAACTTTACCACAGATAATTTGTTGCATTCTTTTTCCCGTACCCCTTTTTGCATTGCCTGTGATGGATAGATCGAAATCCTGATGGTAAGTGTAAAGATAATTTAGAAAAAAATGAATTTCAGAACTGAAATTTGGTTGATGAATTGAATTGGTATTATACCATGAATGAACTCTTCTTATGGACTCCTCTTTTAACTAGAAAAACTTCTTTAGGATAATACAGTGCCTTGATTCTGCTATGGAGAGCATAGTAGATGTTTCCACAGAGACTTGTCATTATTAGTTCTTTCAGAGTCATGAGAAAGAATGAAATTAGGAGTAAGAATAGAATGTCTTTTTTGAAAAATATTAAAGGTGTCGTTGACAACTTATTTCTGCAAGTCACCGGTTATTTAGCTGCATGCTCTGTTATTTTACTCAAAAGAAAGAAAGAGTTTTAAAAAAGGGTATTTGTCACTGAATTCTAAATTGTGTTTTTCTACATGCCCCTAGAGATTCACCTCTCTGTGATAAGAATGGTGCGTGTGTTCGCTCTGTGGGCCTATTCCTTGTCTTGTTTAGAATTTGTAGGGGAATGTTATCAAAGGTCTGACCCCCTCTAACTTGCCTGGGTCAGTGTTGTTACTCACTTTGTTTTCCCCAAATATTTTGCTTGACTCTCCTATAATTCTGATCATAATATGAGCTTAATTAAGTTTGTTCCTTAGGTTCTACTTGTAGGTTTTGAGCTTTTTGAGGGCAGAGGTCAAGCACTCATCTTTGAATTGCATACTAACAGAGTACATAGCAGGCACTACAAGTATCTCTGATTATTTTTCCTCTTAGATATAGACTTAATGTGGTAGCTTATCTTTACAAGTTATTTTAAGATACATTTTAGATAGCAATATTAATTAGAAATAATTAAATAAATATAATGAAATGACTTAAAGATAGTGGCAATATTTACTCATGCATTTTGGGTGATGCCAACAACCTGAGTTGCATAGCATATGTCATCTTGATATCTGGAAGATATATATATATATATTTATATGATAAGTGTTTTAATAGAAGTAAATGATTAGCTTAATAACACAAAGTATACTTGTCCAATTAGACTTTGGGTCATTAACAAATAACCTGATAATAATGAATATTTACATTTTAATTAGCTAGATTGCGTGTAATTTTTAAGATTTTGGACTGAATTTTGTAAAATATCATATTATTATTTAAATGATTAGTTTTAAGTTTAAAAAATCAGTTAAGGTTATTGTTCAAAGAAATTTATTCCTTCTTACTGTAAATTCCGCCCAAACTATGAGGAAAAAACCCCACAATTTATAGAAATTGCAGCGTTTCATAACAAAGTGAAAGCTGGTTTTAATAATCTCTTTGATATATTTTAAAATTATAATTAAGCTTTAGGGAGTGGAGTTGAAATATTCAACGGCACCTAGTAGGCAAGAAAATAATATGTTGCCACTTAGATCTTACTTACACACAAGGCTTCATATTTCAAAGACTGATCCATTTTATTGTCTCGATCTGTTCGGGCTGTATTGCAGATAAGCAGTTCTGCTTTTATATGTGGAAAAAGAGAGGCAAACGAGGTTTTATGTTGTCCCATAAGGGTTAGTCTCCATTATTTCTGCATTAAAGTTACATGATGTGGGCAGTGTAAAACATGACTGCAGATGAAGCACAGTACATAGCCAGACATAACAGGAAGGAATCAAGGAAGTTCTGGCTACCAGACATTGCTACTGCTTTGGGGTTCCTTGTTTTCAATATGAAATTACTCTAGCAGGCCCCTGGAAGGCGTTCTAAAGGCATTATATAGCTGTGTAATATATAGGTATAGTTATTTTATTCATATATACTTTTTTTTTATGTTCTTTTTTCTTTTATTTCTTTAAAGCACATTTTGGCTTCCAATTTGACAGTAATACTGGGATTTTGGGGTGTGCCAGATGTAATTAGAAGTCTCTTCCTGGAAATAAAATATTCTGTTAGAGCTGGTTTTGATGAGAATATTCTCTCTGAGTGTTAAATAATTTTGTGATTAATTGCACCATAGTAGTTACGACTATCCATTTCCTCTAGTAGGTTAGAAAGGGAAGTGTTTGAAGGAGAGGTGATTATATCTGGTAAAAAGAACTGCAGAACAGTCAGTCTGATAAATGACTAGGCCAATATTGGAGTAAAATAAATGACAAAAGTTTCTTTTCTCTCAGCGTAACACTCAGAGAATTCAATAAGCCAGATATGGAGACTACTTTGCCAACTATAGAGAGAAAATATTGCTGATGGTAGACAAAGTTAGGAACAATTAGTCTCTTTCAACTAAGTTGAAAGCTGTTCTACTAGCAACTGTGAAAAGTCTCTAAATACATGTAGTTCTTTTCCTTCTTTATTACAAACACATACACCCACACATGCCTCTATTAGTCTTTGGCTTCAGGTTCTTAGACATAATTACAGCCTGAAGAGTAATTGGTAGCCAAATTTACACTTCAGGTTTCCTAAGAAGGTGTAAATCCCAGTAGAAATGTGCCTCTGATAAACCCCATGTCTAAAAACTAGAGATTGTATTGTAAAATCCTTGGATTTTAATTTGATAGTAAGTGTTATAAAATAGTAACTTTCTAATTTTTCTTCTAAGGGATGGTTTCCGTAGACTAGTTTTTTTTAAGGGTTTCATAACTCTTTTTTTCTCCCTAATGGTAAAACTTTTCAAGCTGCCATCATTTAAAAAATAACCATAATCATTTTATTAAGTATGAGTGTCATCATTTTTCAAAGTAATGTTTTCCAAATGTCCTATGAAACAGGCTTATAATTCCTGCAGACAAAAGATATTCTGGAAGGGTTCTACAAATCTTAGCAACTGCAAACCATTGCCCTAGTGTGTGATATTGTCATTAACTGACCTAACTGAACTGTAAATTGAGTTATAATGTATTTTCCTTCTTGGGTTTATTAGTGCTTGCAATCCTTTTGTTTCGATTTCTGAAAACATATACACTACCAGTTTCTTTAGCTCTGGGTTCATGGAGATTTAGGGTAATAATCTTCAAATATGTAGGCTCAGTCACTTACAGGCAGTGTTGTTGATTATGTTTAATTTTTTTTTTAACTGTGAATTCAGTCAGTACCTGGTCCAAGTAAAGTAGTGGCTACAGTTTTAGCGGTATAGTTTTAGAGGAACATTCACAGCCAAATTCTGGTTTGAACAATTAGCTTAGAATTTGGTTGAAAGTATATGGAAGATAGTTTCTTTTTGTGCATGTACAGAAGTGTCAGAAAAAGAAGCATTTGTTTTTGTTTTACTAGTCATTAGAAATGAAGGAGATGGAAACAAGTTTAAGTTTCCTTGTTCTTTCCAGACTGTATCTATTAATTGATACAATCTGAAATTTTCTCTACAGTTTACTTATTGTAGAGGAAACATACTCAGTGGGTGTGTTTCCATATTTTGAGGATATATAGAATATATGGAAATTTCCTTGAAGTTGGAGAAAGTAGTTCTTTGCAATTTTTTGGTGGTGATATTGATAGTTGTGCTTTGTGCAGTATCTTAGATCATGTTACCATAACATTTTGAGTCAACACATTTCGTCATTGTAAAGTACAAATACACATGCCTCTAAAAACCTCACAGAATGTCATGAAATAATACCCTGGGACTTTTCTTAAGAGACACCAGTTATAATTTGCATCTAGTATTCCAGGAGAAGTGAATTTAACATCTGTTGGTTATGAGCAAAAAATGAGCTACGTAAAACTTGATGGATAATAGATTATATTGAAGAGAATGACAAATATGCTCCACATGCTCTGAAAAAGTATTTAATTGACCGCATTTATCAATATGCTTGCCATTGTTGGTGATTTCTCACTATCCTAGTGAACAAGTAGTACTGAAAAGTATACTCTCAGCTTGGATGTGGAGTAAGACATATAATTCCAATTGACTTTAGCCAAATATATTGCTAATTCCAGGGATCCTGCTTTGGGATCATGTCTCCAAACTAACTGCTTCTGCTGTTGCTATTTTTAAGCGGCTCCCTGACTCCTCTATAAAGAAATAAAGGAATTAATGTGTGGATTCATCAAGCAGAGTTAGAACATTTTGAGTGTTCAGTTTTTCTACAGTACTATGGCACGACGTTGGCTTCTATATATTATCTTTCATCTTAACCAGTCAAAAACAGAGTTCTAGAAAAAAAGGAGAGAAAACTAGGATTTTAGTATTGCTTTTCTAGATTTATAAGTAGAGAGCCTAATTTGCTTTGGTTTTAATTTCATTTTCTGTAAAAATATTGAAAATGATTTTGTAAAGCTTTATATCAATTTTAATATGAAACTCTTCATTGCCATATATTCAGTTACCTATTTCGGTATGCATGTATGAGTATTAAAATCAGTTGACAACTGAATGGCTATGTAAGCCTTCCAAAATGTCACTTAAAGTGATATGTAAAGTTAAAAGGCTTGAGAAAAGTATAATTCATATAAAGGTAATATTCTACATACTAATGTGTAAAATGGGCATGGATTTCAATAGAACAGAAGAGCAAATCCTGCTTTCCTGTTCATAATTTCAATCTTCATCAAGTAAAAAAAGCTAAAGATTTAAAATGTTTTTGATAGAGAAATTTTTAGATATGGTAATATAGAGTCTTAAAGATATGATAGAAACTTCATATTCTTTGCTCATGTTTGCTGATAGCCTTGAATTAGGGCTAGAACTCTGAAGGTCTTAAAGACTTAGTTCAGTAATTGAATGTAAGTCACTATAATGTTTTATATAATATCCAAATGTGATGATTTAAAAAATATGATACTGCTATTAAAGATAGAGCTCATGTCTGTGGTTCTTTTAAAATTTTATTTTTGATTTGTACCTTTTGAAAATAGTAATGAAATATGAATCATGATAATGATTTACCGTTATTTCAGCTTTATTAAACAAAATAGGCAGGCAGCAAACAAAGATATGTTGCTGCTCAAACTATTAGTAGTACAACTTTTTTTTGCCAAATTGTTTGTCAAGTCTATGAATCTACATATCTCTCTTTTATTTCAGGCATTCCTCGAGTTATCCAATGTAAATTTAGACTTCCCCTAAAGTTAATTTGCCTACCAGGTCAGCCTTCAAAAACTGCAAGCCACAAAATTACTATTGATACCAACAAATCTCCAGTCAGTCTTCTTAGTCTCTTCCCAGGTAAGACTTTTGAAATAACATGCCTGCAGCATCAAAAATGCTAAGAATTTAGAATGGAATCCTTCATCAGCAGATAATGATGGGGTAATTATCAGATAATTGTTAAGTAAGAGTATAAAAATGCCTCAAGGATTTTTCCCTCCTTTGCCTGTTCAAAGGTGAATAGCTTATATCAACAAGGTAATAAGGTGTTCCTTTTAAGTTTGATTAAAATTATCGTAATAATTATTTTGCTACAGTATTCAGAAATAAAAACATCAAGTGTTTCTCTTTAGACTGTGATTTTTTTTGGCTTGGAATGTAAATATTTACTATTCATCTTTGTGGTAGGTTTTTGGATATATCTTTCTTCTAAGTGTATAAATATTTATTATTTATCTCCATTGTGGGCTTTTGTATATGTACCTTTGAAAGTATATTCTTATGTCTCTGAAAAGTAATCTCGTAAGTAGATGCTTTTTGTACTCTTTTATTCTGCTGTCTACAGAAGCTAGAGGGTGTTCATCCTGTGCCTATGGTTGTTTAGAAGGGTTTCATATTTAATGCTTCAATATCTCAGTGAACTTTTGGGGTACTCTGTGATGGTATGACTTTCTCCAAGTGTCAGTTTTCTTTCTGAGTGGCTTAGAAATGAAAGAAGCTTTTATTGGATAAAACATCCTTAGTAACCAAGGTTTTTAGTGTGTCATGTCATTAACTTTCTTGGTGGTGGGGTAGAATTGAAGAATAAAATCTTGGAATTAAATCAACCCTTTTAAATCCTTCATTAAAAATCAGCACTGTTGGCTATGAGATGCATCTTTTCCTTTGCATTAGTGGATAAGATTTAGGATGCAAACAATACTTTTCACAAGGTGTAGAAATTTATGGTAAGTCAAATTCTGTGTTGTTAACTACTTAAAGTGCTTAAAATTTATTTTTTATTAATTTGCAGTTTTTCAAAAATTTTATTTATATGAAACTCTGAAAAATCTTCAAAATTAAATATTCTATTGCAATTATTCTATTCTTAAGTGTGAGTTGAGTTTGGAGATATATATGTGTATATTGTTAGCAAAATATTTTTTACCTTTTGGGTTCTTTCTCCCATCTCTTCTCTTCTTTTACCTCCTTGTTTTTTAGTCAATTTTCTTATAACAAACTTGAATTATGAAAAAGGCAGACTCACTACCTTTTGTAACATCTTGCATAAACTTATTAGTTTCTTGGGTCTTCTATACTACCTTAGGAACATAGTTGGAAATTATATGTTGAACACCAAATTTTTTTTTCTTTTATTATTATTATTATTATACTTTAAGTTCTAGGGTACATGTGCATAACGTGCAGGTTTGTTACATATGTATACT